AATACTAATACTACCCATGTGTGTTTGTGTTGGAGTATATTTATTATGCAATACAATGTTTTTTCGTAACGTTTACATTTGTGTTCTTTTTTATTTTCTAAAGATAAAATATTAAGGGGTCCAACCCCCCCCCACCCCCGAAATTTAGTAGAAATTTAAGGAGAAACATTTTAACAGTAAATATAGTTTATTAACTATAAATTGTATTAAATAATAATTGTAAATTTTCGTTAAAGCAGTAATTTAAAATAAGATAAAATGTATCATTTTATTTTATTTCAACGTCGTAATAAAGATTAGGTTAGGTAGGTACTAGTTCACCGGCGGAGCGTGACCTGCGGAGTACCGCAGGGCTCGGTACTCGGTCCTTCGCTCTGGAACGTATTTTACGACGGTCTCCTCAACACGGAAATTCTGCCAGGCGTCCAACTCGTGGCGTTTGCCGACGACGTCGCCGTAATCGAAACGGCTCGCRCCGGCGAACTAGCAGGCGCACTCATGAACCCGGCACTCCAGACCATATAACCACATGGATGCGGGAAAACGGACTACAACTAGCGCCGCAAAAATAAGAGTGCGTGGTTTTGACAAAAAAAAAGATTTTCAGCGACCCCGTCCTGACGGTGGAAGGACATCAGATCCTAACAAAACGAGTAAACGACACATAAGATACCTGGGCGTGGAACTGGACACGTCAGCACAATATCCAAAAAGGCAACGGACTCGGTGCGGGCAATCGGCAGGCAGCTGACCTTCGCAAAAGAAAAGGCAACTGTTGTGAACAGCAAACTTCTATACGCTAGCCCGCCCTGGACAACCATCGGAGTCAAGGCAGCGATCAACCGAGCGGAAATGTCGAGAGCTCAACGAACGATATCTCTCCGCATCATAAGAGCCTACCGAACGGTATCGGCCGACGCTACAGCAGTACTCTCCGCGACGATGCCAGCTGAAGATATGTCGAGGACATTCTGACAGGCCCACTGTCGGAGAGCCTCCCTGCAGACCATATCGACAGGACACGACTTCTGGCACAAGCGTCGGCTAATCGCTCGGAACTCGTGATAATGATTGATCTCATCATCACACGAAAAGAATCTGACGAACGGGATGAACAGGCGTACGTCTGACAGATATAGTCGGAGGTGTCACCGACCACGCTCTTCATCCCATCACGATGACACCACGGGAGGGACGACGATCACGRCATCGTGGACAGAACGAGTATCAAGGGTGGCGGACTCCGGTCGGCTCGAGAAGCCAAARGATTCAGTCGGAAACCCAAAATCTCAACAGTCAAAATCGTACAGCAACTGTAAATAAACGACAATTGTAATCGCAATAAATGTAATTTAATGAACCGGGGGGTAAGTCGGGGCCTTGCCCCGTCTACCCCCCACGTATGTATGATTAATATTTGTTTTCAAATAAACGATGGCGGCGTCGCGGAAGCAATGCGAAAGCAGTTCCCGCGGCGTCGTCGGTTTCAAACAGGAAAAAAAAAAGAGGTAGGTAGGTACTAGTTACAAAAAAAAGGTGATTGTCAGTTTTCACAGATGATATAAACTTATAAATGAAAGTCGGTCGCAGAAAATCTCCAAATTATTTAAGATTATGAAACAAGAATATAACAATATATGCGTGTGTTGTAAAACATTCATTTTACTGCTGCTAGCTAGTGCTCGCGTAAACTGTAAAAAATGAGTAAAAAAAATTGTATTTTATATATTTTTATCTTTTTTTAATTTGTGTTTTTAAGTAATTTGAATAAGTCTATACATATATATATATATAAATAATCAACTATTATGTTTATGTAAATTGAATATTATAATAATGACTTATGTTTTTAATAATGATAATAATAAAATTTTATATTTTTAACGTAAAAATGAAGTGTTTAGTATCTATATTAAGAAAAANTTGCCAGTTACGGCCTTGTATACAAACATCATACAACAAACACCATGTGGATATGTGATGAAAAAAATTAGCTATATCGATATTTAAGCAACTCTGAATAGTATGCATAAGTATTACCATATTACACAGAGTGATTATAATCATATAGGTACATGCTTATTACTCACCTCATTTTTAAATTGATAATTCATTCATTTATTCAAATCGAGATTTTTGAAAGTTTTATATTTTGACAGGTACCTATGTACCTAGTACCTATGTCTTAACTTCTTGAGTTTGAGTATATGCTATATTTATAATTTATAAACAGCAATTATCTAAGGCATATAACCATGGACATTTTTTGATTTATGTAGATACCATAGTAAATACAACAATACATCTATTAAATTTTCTTTTTTTCTTACTTTTGAAAGTAAGCTAACGAGGTCCAATTTTTATTTTCCACCAGAAACCGCATTTTCACTCCTCCAAAATGTTAAGAAATATGTATAGCTGTATATGTATAGCTACAAAAAAACCACACAGATAATTAATGTAAAACTAATATTAGTGAAAATTTAAAAAAAAAAAAGCCCCACTTAGAATTTAAAATTAAATTTATAATATTATTCAACATTTTGATCCCAATGTAGTATGGTTGTTGTACTAAGACACATTTTACACGACGTCTACGTCAAAGTTGGAATAAGAATTTATACCTATATTATAAGTATACAATCGATATTGGTTTATCAGCAAAACACATAATATTGTTTCCATAAATTATTATTATTTTAAATTATACGAGAGACATGTCAAGTGCTTATAAATGTATAATGTATCGTACTTAACTATAATACCGTATATTGTACGGTTACATATTCATATTTATGATGAACTCCGATTCCCGATTGTCTTCAAATACATAGCGTTCGTAAGTATATCGAGTAACATACTAAGCGCGGACGAGCTTTATATTTGGTTTGTTGTTTTATCTGACCGGCGAACAAGTATATCGAAAACAAGCTTACAGTAGCATTGGATGTATTTTATGGTTATATAAAACAACTTTTGAAAATCAAAAGGTTTCAGAGATGTAAATACTAATAAAAGTAAAATAGTAAAAACGTCCTGAACAGACATTCTTATACACCAGACGATGCTGTTATCTAAACGGCTCGAACATGAGTTTTTAAGAAATGTAGTCGACGGGACGACGGAGTTCCTTAAGTCACGAATAGACAAAAAGTTTGYCARTTMATTACTGTCTCAATATCTCATTTATTGTATATTTTTATTTCCAACTAAACAATTGTAGAATTTTTAGAAAAATATGTAGGTACCATATGGAATGAAGTTTTAGATTCTGAACGAAGTGATGAATGTATTGATTTTACAATAATGTGTGTTTTTTTTGTTTTTTGTTTTTGTGTCTGTGTACAGCATAACTAGTCGAAAATCTTTGGGGGTGGTTTCCGATGTAAAAGTGAATATCCTTGGTGCATTATAGAGGTCAAAAGTTAACATTTTCCAACAGTTTTCAAAAAAATCGAGTAAAACAAAAAAAAATTACAGAAAAACGGGAATTTTTACACGATACCAGTTTTCGACCAAATATATTTTTTTATATGGTTGTAATTCAAAAACTAATCACTGTAAATACTTGAAATTTTCACCAAATGTTTATGTTAGTGTTATCTATATACAGTTTAATTTTCAAAAGGGTTAATAGTACCTAAYCTTTTTTTGAGATATTTATAGACCACKGAAATTTTCGATTTTTATAAGAATTTTTTTTTTTGAAGTGTCGGTAAAAAAATTTTAGATGACCAAAAAAACTTGAAAATTTAGTCAAGGTGCCTTATGAGTTGTTCTTATCGTAGCTAAAAAAAATTAAAAATTGTTACTCACAATTTTTTTTATAAGCGTTAATAGTTCAAATTTTTACGCGAAAATTTGCAAGTAATTTTGAAGTTGAAAAATCATAAATTTTTTTGTGTTTATAACTTAGGATTAAAAATACGACACTAAGTTTTCCGTAAGTTTTCCTTCAAGTAGCTATAGAGAAAACTCGAAGAATCATTATAGGAAAAATTTTAAGTGCGTTTGAATTTTAAATTTTTACGAAATAGCGAAACGATAACGATTTATCCTCAATCGATTTTAAACATTTGTTATTATTAAAAAAGTATAAGTCGTAGATACTTGAAAATTGTACCAGTTATTTAGATTGGCATTTTCTTTATATGATTTAATTTTCAAAATATTCTGACTTTTTTGAGGTACTAATAATAGACAACTGAAATTTTCAATTTTTCTGAAAATTGTTTTTTGAAGTGTCGATAAAATTTTTTTGGTCCTATCAAAATACTTTAAAATTTAATGCAAAGTTCTTCATAAGTTCTTCGTATAGTGATCAAAAAATTATAAGAATACATAGGCACGACTTTTTTTTATTAGCATTTGAAGTTCTAATATTGACAAAAATTCGTCAAAACCATGAATATTTGCAAAAAATTATTTTGTAGTACAAAATTCATAAAATTGTTTGTAATTATATCTAAGGTCAAAATATTCAACATTAAGTTTTCCATAAGTTTTTCTTTAAATAGCTATAAAGGAAATTTGAAGYGTCATTATAGGAAAAATGTTTTGAGCGTTTGAGTTTTAAATTGTTATGAAATCGCGTAACGATAACGATTTATCCTCAAACCATGTAATTGTATATCTATGATAATATAGGGTACCTATTATGAATTATGATAACTACATGCAATGTTTTTAGAAAAATTGATTAACCATACTTTATGCAAAATGCGTCCTAATTGAAAAATAATATATTTGTTTCAAAATAGAATATATGACAATTTTAAATATAATATATCCTAGACTGACAAATCACTATTCAGAATCATTTTTCGTATGCAATGATACCTATCATTGCATTCAAATCTAACCTACCCTAGTCAGAGGTCCAGCCCACCACCTAATGTATAGCAGAGCGACATCCACTTACCCGCTTTTTTTTTTTACCTTTCCAGAGTATTAATAAATTTGATAAGGTAAATAACTAAAAACAAACTAAACACATTTTGTAAAAGTGTCATATTAGTTTATAGGTATTTTTAACATAACAAGTCATCAATCCTCATAATATAATGTGACATAATTTAGTTTGGCAAAATAGAATTATTTCTTGACAATTAGTCAGCATTAGCTTCCATAACGCTGTTGTTGATAAGTACCATTCACATTTCGTGTACAGCTTCAATACCTAATAATTGGAAAACATTTTCATACACTTGTATTGATGATTTGACCAAATATAATCGAGCATGCATCAGCGGTAATAAACTTGAAATCGGGTCCTGAGAATATAATATATTCATAATATTAATATAATAATTTAGTTGTATAAAATAAAATTAATATGTGAGTATATAGCATTGATTTTTAACCAGTGTACCAAGGACTTGAACATATAATAAATATTTTACAATTGGCAGAAAAAATCCATAAAGTAATTAAAAATTTTAGTTTCACTGTCATACAATTTTGATTTTTAGTGGAATCAGAAGTTAATTTGTAGCAACTATTTAAATGACAAAATTCTAAAACAAAAACATAATTATGGAATTKATAATGCAAGTACAAGTACAAGCAATTTCAATAATGTGAATGAAATAAAAAAGGTCAGTAGAAAATAAAAATTGTGCAATGATCATTTAGATTTTRGGTTCACTTATGTTGACAAAAATTCTGTAGATTTCCCTTTGCATARTTTATGGGAAAAAACTTTCTAATAGGAATTAAAAAGTATATTCTTTTAATCATAGAAGTACTTTTATGTCATTACATTTATTTTATATTATGTTTTCAACTAGCTCTAGTTGTAATTTTYTATATAAGTATTTAATTATCAAATAATCATTCGTACATTTAATTGTGACTATAAAAWAAAAAGAAAAAATTATAAAAGATTAATACGAATAACACCTAGCACCTGATACATCATAATGAATCTCTCATCAGTATTTCTTACTTCATTATGAAATATGTATATTAAAGAGTTTTTATTCAATCAATGATTAGGATTAAAGAATTTTTTTTTTATCTAAATGAATAATACTAACATCGTTAATTTGCTTAATAATTATTAACTTAGTACTATTTAATTTACCGACTTATCTCTTTATGCAAGATACATTTACAGAATACAGACAATTATTGTTCTTAGTCTTTTTAAAATTTCAATTTACAATATTTTCATTGTTTCAATCAAATACTGATAATGTAATATTATATTTATAATAAACATAGAAATTATCATGCATAGTTTAAAGTAATTGGTTTATTCATTATTGATGCAATGCAAAGTAATGGATTAATAATAATTATAAAATAATCATGATAGTAACAATAAAAATTAATACTAGTACAGTAAAAATGTATTTAAAATTTAACATGAAAAAAAGTAAATGAAGATATTGGTAGGATAAACAAAAAATTATAAAATATTATTGATTGTTTAAATGTTAATACATTATRTTTTCTAAATGTATGTTCGTTAAGAAAACAAGGTATCCTGTGCATATGTTGTCTCCATCTTACACATCTGACACATATAAAAAGCAAATCTAAATAATTCTAAATACAGTTTATTTATATAAAGCAATTTTATATGTTATCAAACTTGTATATCAGAATAAAAACTGTGTTCAGGCAGAGTATATTTTTCATATTTCATTTAACATTTTTTTAATAAGTATAAGTGCATAATAATTTCAAATTTATATAACTAATTTTTAAATAAAAATGTTTAAAAAAACTTTGCTCTAGCACAAATATGTAAATTTGTTCTAATATTAACTATAAATAAACTGTAGTAATAAACCGGTACATGGATTTGGTATGATACAAGTTTGTAAGACAGAGACAATACATGCATAGACAATATTTTCTTATTGCTTTAGCTTTATCATAAGTCCCCAGATTCTCATAGAATAAGTAGTGATTAAACATTAATGAATTCACTTTTAAGTCTTTTCTGTGCCAGTGCAAATATTGTTACATTTACATATAATTCAGTTTATTATTTTATTATTATTATCATYAATATCTAATATACTTATCTAAATAATTACTTTTGTGGTTTATGGCACAGTATATCATAATAAAGATTATAATATTGTTGTTCACTATACAACAATTATAGTTATGTTTAAAAAGCTAATATTAAAAAAAAAAACTTTTGCTGCATTTTAAAACAACACACTCACTGATAAAATATGATGCCTATGATAAAATAGGCTAACAGCAGATGACATTTCCATCAAAAACTTGCACAATCTATGGACATCCACACTTGCTGACAACAAATGTTTAACAGATTGTTGAATAACCAAAGGATACATTGATATATGGTTAAGGATTAAAATCCATTCTTCCTAAAGTATAAACAATATTATTCATTGTAATTTAATTTCCTAAAACTCCTGAATCAAAGGTAAAAACTAGAAAAAATGTAATGGGTATACCAAATGATAACAGGAGACCTTCATTTTGGTCTTCTACTACCCATAAAAATATGAATTAAAGATATTAAGAAATTAATTACATATTTTATCATTTTGTCCATTTTTATAGTTTAATAGGTTATGTTTATAGTTCATACATGACAAAATAAACATCTCATGGATGCATACATAGAAAAAACTAAAATAATATTTTTACAACTACAAAATTACAATCCAGATGAGCCAACTATGTGGCCAAAACAATCTAAGATATCCCCCCCCCTAGGTGCCATCACTTAATATAACTTACTTTACTAGTCAACAATCCAAAGTTAACGGCACCAATGTCAGGTAAAGATTCATAGTAATTTTCAATAACCCCTTTTTCAAATGCTTTCCATACTTGACAAAGCCTTGAGTAATTGTACATTACAAAAATACCACCTAAAAAAATAAATAAATAAATAAATAAAAAAATAATTTTAGTTGTACATTTCAAACACAAATAAATTTATTTAAACTGACTGTCTTTATTTGATGTATCACATTCTGTATTAATAACTTTACAATGGCGAACACTTAATAATTCATAGACAATCGATGCATGGCAAAGTTTAGATATGATATCAATTGGATATTCATCAGATTCAACACGATTAGCTGACATTTTAGTAATAGCATCTTTTTTTTGCCTGAAAACCAAAAATATAATACTTTATATTGAATAGATGTATTATGTATTATGTATTTAACTATTTAAATAATTAATTATAGGCTCACTGTTTATAATCTTCGACTGTCATATTACAAACAACATTACCACACAATACAAGATTACTGTTATATGGATTGTTTTTTTTTGACACCAATAAATTCAGTCCATYACTTCCTATCACATACCCATTTATTTTGGCTAAATTTTGAATTGTCTCTTTCAATAATGCAATGCGCAAGCATGTAACTGAATCATTCCACTCATCAGAACTGACCAAGACTATCTACATTCATACAAAATAAAAAAAACTAACTGATGTTTTTTAAATAATGTGATTATRTACTTTACAGTGCCTTGGTGTTCATCATTACTACCATATTTACAACCAGATGTTAATGTCTCTTTCATCACTGTGGATGTCCATAAWTCTTTTTTTAACCATATTGATGTATAATTTGARGACCATGAGCAACGTTCAACAATTGTCAAATCTTCCACTAACTTTTCAATTAGGTTTTGTAAGTCCTAGAAAATATSAAACACATCAATTTTAAATACATCAAAATTTCAAACTCTTTGTGAATTAATATGTTTAATGACACTTACTTTAGTTGAATAGAAACGGATGTCTCCATTAATGTGGTGTTTTATCATAGGCAATTTAAAGTCGATTTCTAGCTCCATATGTGTACGAACAAACAATCTCAATGCTTTGTAGAAATTGTCCATAATGTACATGATTGTAATTAATACAATAGTTGGTTACCAGATGCAAATGATTCAACTACTCATATAACAAAAGTAATTTAAAATTCACGACATAAAAGTTATGTCCACCAAGTTAAAGTTGAGATAAAAATGTAACAACCTACTTTACTATTTTCCTAGCATAATATATGCCCACAATTGTAATAGCTGCTGAATGCTGGATCTGCATTAACAATTCTATATTCATAACAATTTTTTGCAAACGAGTAACAATATTTCAGATCACAAATTACATAAAATTATATTACACTGTTATGCGTATATATGCACAACGTAATTATATATTAATATACCAATTATTATATTTTATCATAAAGGGACATTTATTAAAACATTTAAAACTAATAAAATAAAAAAGTGATGAAAAAGTAGTTTTAGTTTTTACAATACTTTAAAAGTTTGAAATTGGCATATACATTACAGATGATAGCGATGAGAATGATAATGGTTACATACTTGACATTGATAATATATTATCTATTAGAATTTATGGCAAACGAAAAACTATCAGTACCAACACAACAAAAAAACAAATTGGCGCGAACACAATATCATAAAATGTTTAAAGAAGTGTATTATTATAAACAAAAATAATAAATGCAGTAAAAT